ATTAAGGGAATTTGTGAACATCCAAAGAATTGGATTTTATGGTGTTTTGAAATAAAATAATGTAGGAGAAGAAATAAAAATGGACCACCGCACTTCCGTGTTGTTTTCTGTGTATTCAGCCATTTGGACTGTGGCGAGAAAAAGGCATTCTATCGTGGTTTGTGGCTTTTTGTCTTTGGCTTTTATCATTAAGAAACCTCACGCTGTACATTACCATTCCTTAGTGATGTTTTGTAAATTACTAAATGGAATACTGCACGACTTAAAGCACTAAAAACATCGTAGTGGCTTGCCTTGGAGCACTTGACATTTATTTTTCAAGTCTCATTAATGAAGTTGGCCTCATGATATTTATTAACAACTCCGAACCCAAAATCCACTTAGAGAGAGGAACATCATTAGGAGTAGTAAATGTAAATGTGTGGTCTTGCTCATTGAAAACACTTTTTGCCAACTTATTAGATGATAATTGTTTTACCTTCATAACAGGGATATTGAAAAGCTTGTACGAGGACTAGAAATGTCAGTCTTGGTCACTCTGGTTCCATGCTTGCAACGTTACTATCTCCCATCGCAGTGAAGATAAGACTGTGCGAGAATTTTTAAAATACACAAGACATATATTTCCACCATTTGATTAAAATTTAAGTTCATTTATAGCACTTGGCATTGAGCTCAGAATGTAAGCAAATGAGTCAACACACTTTGGTTTTAAAAAGTCCCTATGGGCTCTTACTGGTTTGGCTCAGTGGATAGAGTGTCGGCCTTCTGACTCAAGGGTCCCAGGTTTGGCTCCGGTCAGGAGCATGTACCTTGGTTGCGGGCACGTCCCCAGTGGGGGGTGTGCAGGAGGCAGCGGATCGATGTTTCTCATGAATGTTTCTAACTCTCTATCCCTCTCCCTTCCTCTCTGTAAAAACATCAATAAAATATATTAAAAAAATAAAAAGCCCCTGTAGGCTGGTCAGCACCAGGGGTCAGAGTGGGCTGGGCATAGCTACACAGAGCAGATGGCAGAAGAGAAAGACTGGGGTGTGCTGATTATGTGGCCGGCAAGGTGGGTCAGAGAAAGGGAAGGTTTCAATGATGCTCTCCAGACAGAGCATCTAGGAAGTAGCCCAGAGAAATAGGACGCATTTCCCCAAAGGCTCCAAGGATACCCCCAGCTCAGAGCCCCGTGTGTGGACACATTTTGAACAGCCCTCCTATATTTGGAGGATTCCCTGTGCTAAATCCTGCCTACTCAAGGCAGGAACCAGACCTCGGCTTAGCAGGCTGTTGTGTGCGCCAATGAGCCACACTCACAGGAGACTTATTTAAGAGGGAACAAAGGTCAAAGGCCACTCTGGCCAAAGGCGTGAAGCCAGCGGTGGTAACATCACCAGTGCCCAGGGGATGAGCTGGAGGTGTGTCCCTGGAGCTGGAGAAGTGGGGGCTTCGGGAGCAGCACTGCGGTTGGAGTAGCTGGCCTGGTTCCTGGATGGGTCTCCTCCCCTCTTGTCTTTCTGGCCTTCTCAGAGGTCCTATGAGCTTCCTACGAAGCTTTTAATCATTTCCTCTTTTTTTTTTTTTTTTTTTTTTTTTTGCTCAAATTAGTTAGAGTATGCTCTTCGTGAGCTGGCAAGTTGACAAAAACTCCATTAAGGGCAAATTCCCTGAGCTCTCATGAGAAAATGTACCTGTTACTGTCAATTAATAAAGGGGATAGGACTTTTAAAAGAAGAAGTGAGAACAGGGATTCTCGGTGTGGGGAACAGTAAACACAGATGCAAAATAGAGTGAGTTGAGTCGATATTTGAATTGAAAGTATCGATATAAACGTGCTGTGTATTTTATCTCCAAAAAATCCCTGCATTTGTCCACCAAAAGCCCCAGAAACAATGGATTGTCTTGAAATATCATTTTTCACTGAAAGACAGTAGGATGTCTGAAGAGCTGGCCAACTGCATGTCTGGGCAGGAAATGTGCAAGATGAACCTGGTACATCTCTCCAGAAAGCCCAGAAACAAACCAAGGGGGAAGGATTGGGCCCGAAGGATGCAGAGTGAGTGGAGGGGCCTCCCGCTGCCCAAAGAGGAGACCATTTGAACACCAAGGAGCATAGAAGTGGCAATGGACCAAAACATGTTAAACATGCATAGATCCTGCGGGCCCCGGTGGCTCAATGGTTGAGCGTTGACCTGTGGACCAGGAGGGTGGGATTCGATTTGCAGTTCGATTCCTGGTCAGGGGACATGTCTGGGTTGTGGGCTTGATCCCCAGTGTGGAGCATGCAGGAGACAGCCAACCAATGATTTTCGTCATTAATATCTCTATCTCTCCCTTTCCTCTCTGAAATCAATAAAACATATATATTTAAAAAGTACTTAATTTGAGGAAGAGGAAGAGAGAGGGGTAGTTAGAAACATAAATGAGAGAGAACCATCAATCAGTTGCCTCCTGCACACTCCCTACTGGGGATGTGCCCACAACCAAGGTACATGCCCTTGACAGGAATCGAACCTGGGACCCTTGAGTCCCAGGCCGACACTCTATCCACTGAGCCAGACCGGTTAGGGCCCAGAGATTAATTCTTATTCATGCACCATGTCTGGTGCACATCAGAGGGGTCTCTGCACCTGGCAGCCGCTTAGGGTCACAGGACCATAGAGGTTGTATCTCACCCTGTGCTTCGGGGGTGACTCTGCAAGGAGAAGGGGGTGGGGACTTGCTTCCTTAGGCTCCTTCCTGGTGCATCTCCCCTCATGTGACATTTCCTTGGCCACATCTCGCCAGATGGCCACACCTACTTTTGAAGGAGGAGGAGTGCAATGCTGGCCTGAGCCGGGAAAGAGAGAGCTAGAAACTGTCAGTGAATACCACTCAATGATGACTACCGATGACTACGATGCCTCCGTAGGTGACTTTGTCTCAATATGCCAAGGTGGGTGCGAGGGAGGACCTCCCCGTGAATGAGGAGCACGAGGGAGGGTGCACAGGTGGGAAAGCCCAGCTGAGAGGAGCCCCTAGGAATGCTGGGAAGCCAGGTTGCCGAGGAAGGCAGGTGGCGTTGTGAAAGCCATGCTCAGGAGGCTGGGCCGGATCCAGGAGCCACTGCAGCTTGTAAAGCTGTGGCCGAGGAGGAACCTGACGGCTGTGTGTGGAAGAGGGCAGAGGGCAGAGGCGGCAGACTGGAGGCAGGAGATCACTGGCCTGGCACACAAATCCAGGCAAAGGGTGTAACAGGGATCTTCTAAGTGGAGAGGGAAGAAAGGGCTCTATATATCAGCCTCCTGAGAGAAGGCGTTCGGACTAATTAGATAGATTTTACAACTGTCGGCAAACTACGGCTCGAGAGCCACATGCGGCTCTTTGTCCCCTTGAGTGTGGCTCTCCCACAAAATACCATTTTGAAGAAGTGGCGTTAGAAGAAGTTGAAGTTTAAAATATTTGGCTCTCCAAAGAAATTTCAATCTTTGTACCGTTGATATTTGGCTCTGTTGACTCATGAGTTTGCTGATCACTGGGATAAAGGATGTCAGGGGGAGCCCTGGCCAGTGTGGCTCAGTTGGTTGGCCATCATCCTGTGCACCAGGAGGTTGCCGGTTTGATTCCCAGTCAAAGGCACATGCCTGGATTGCAGGCTCGAAACCAGGTAGGAGGCAGTTGCTCAATGTTGCCCTCTCACATCGATGTTTCTCTCACCCTCTCCTTTCCTCTATCTCTAAAAATCACTAACTAGTCTTAAACAAACAAACAAACAAACAAAAAAAGGTGTAAGGTGGAGGTGGAGATTCCAAGATGATCCCAATATTTTGAGCCCGGGAGAATGACAGTCACAACCAGAGAAACCCGTGGAAGATGGTTGAGACTGGAAAGGAAGTCTGGGGCTTGAGGATTGCAAAGCAAGGATTTTTATTTACTCTTGTTTCCCGGCACCTAGAGTGTGCTTAGCATTCAATAATATCTGTTGAAAAAACAGACCCGGAGAAAGGGAAGCATGGATCAGACTGTCAGGCCTTAGAGAAAGGGCAGGGGAGGGTGGGTTTGGGGGAGAGCCACCTATATAAAAGCCCTAAGACGAGATGCCAAGAACGTGTAGAGAAAAAGGGGAGGAGGCTGAAGGGAGATCTTGGAAACCATGGCATTTAGGGGCCAAGAAGTAGAACCAGAACCCGGGGTAGGTGGGCATCTGCGGATGGGATAGTGTCAGAGGCTGCAAATGGGTCAAGGATGCTGGGAGCAGATAAGAGGGCATCTGGGTGAGCAACTCAGGACTCAGGTGACAGAGAGAGCTGGAAGCAGGCCAGCAAGGGCTTCTAACAACGAGAACGGGCAGCTCTGGGACGCGGGGGAGGCTGCGGGAGGCCGGCCGGGCCGGGGCAGTCCGGTTTTTGTTTGGGTTTGTTGGAGCGGTTGCAATCGAGACCTATAGTCCCGCCACCAGGTGGAGGCTGAAGGTGCAGGAGGGCGGGAGAGAAACCACGGCCGGACCCCGGGGAGCGGGTGGACGGGACCGGGGAGAGGCCGCTTCTCCCAGGAGGGAAGGAGAGCGCGATACTGGGGTGCCTGCTCCTACGTACGGGGCGCAGCCCGTGCCCATGCCCCCCCCGCCCCCCCGGAACCCCCCGCAGCTTGCTGCCCCGTCCCCCCCCCCCCGGAGGCTAGGCCGGCGGCCTGCTTTTCCCCTTTCCGGAGGGAGGCGGTGCCCGGGCCGGAGGGAGGGAGGGAGAAAGGGAGGCGGCCCCGGGAAAGGTGCAGGGAGCGCGGCGGGAGGAAGGCGGGGCGGCCCGGAGCCACACCCTGAAACTACCTGCGCGGGACAGGAAGGGCCGGGCCAGACCCGCCCCGCACACCGCACACCCGCTGGCTGCCCGGGAGCCGGGCCCGCGACCGGACTCCCCGCCGCCGCCGCCTGCGCCCGCCCCGCGCCCCGCGATCCGCCGGCCCCGGCGGCGATGGGAGCCCGCTGCCCGCGGGGACCACGCCTCTGAGACCCGCGCGCCGGCACCCCCGCGACCATGAAGAGCAATCGGGGGCGCAAGGGCGGAGGGGGCTCCAAGGAGCCCGGCGCCGGACTCAAGTACAGCTCGCGGCCGGAGGTGGGCGAGGGCGCGGGCGGCGGGAGGCCGGGAGGGACCCCTCCCCTCGGGCCCGGGCACGGGCAGCTGGCTCTGGGGCGCGGGCATCTGGCTTTGCAGGCGCCGTCCAGGGGCGAGGAGCCGGAGGGACCCCCTCGGGCCGCGGGGGCGCGGGGAGCTGGCTCTGCAGGCGCCGTCCAGGGCGGGAGCCCGGGTGCGCCGTCCAGGGCGGGGAGCTGGACGGCCCGCGCCTCGGCTGCGCTTTGTCTGGGCCCCGGACCGCTCGGCTGCCCTCTGCTTGTGGCCCGGCAGGTGGAATTTCCGGTTCGGCGGGTGCCGGCCGCGGGACCTTTGGTACCTGTTCTGCCGCGGGGGAGGCGGGAGGCGCAGGTGTTTGCAGATGCGGAGTCTCCGCGGGGGAAAAAAGGGGGCCATCTGGGTCCCTGCGGGGGGACTCCGCGCAATCAGAGCAACCCCCAGAGGAGCCAAGCAAGGCTAAGACCCCCCCCCCAAAAAAAACAAAAAAAAAAACAAAACAAGCAACAAACAAACAAAAAACCCGGAGACCTCCCTCCTCCCGGCCACACCACCTATTTATGTCCAAGTCACGGACACCAGAGGGGTGAGGGCATGTGTAGGGAGGGGTTTGGAATGGGAATGGGGGGGGGATGAGGACACATAAATGATACCTTAATCAATAAAGTAATTAAAAAAAAAAAAAGACTGGGGGCCGAGGCTTGGAATAAATAGGTGGTGTGACGGGGAGGAGGGAGGTCTCTTTTTGTTGTTGTTTGTTGTTTTGTTTTGTTTTTCTGGGGGGGTCCTAGCCTTGCTTGGCCTCTTGGGGAATTTGTTTTTTTCCTTGCTGGTCAGGGGCACAGGGGGCCCTTGGCAGAGGGCATCTGGGCACCTGGGAGACTAGAGTGTTGGCTGTTCGTGAGGTTGGAGCTAAGGACTCCACGATGGAAGATGTCAGGGGGAGCCTGGCCGGTGTTTCTCAGTGGGTTGGGTGCCAGGAGGATACCGGTTCAATTCCCTTGTCTGGGAGCCTCCAAGGGAAGACAGAGCTTTGGGGGAAGGGGACTCCGTGGGAAAGAATGTGGGAACGTGTCTTGAGCCTTTCGCTGATGACAGGGAAGCTGGGAGCACTTGTTTGGCAGGAAGAACGGCGGGGGACGGAGAAATCTCGGACATGACGTTGAGGTCGAGCTGGGATGGGTTGCTGGTCGCCTTGAAGGGCACACCTGGTGGCAGTGCTCAGCAGGGCGGGCAGCCAGGCCCCCACCTCTGCCCAGCGGGATCCCAGGTTTCCTGGTGGCCGGGCAGACCGGTGCCCCTGAGCCCAGGCGTCCTGAGCCCCACGCTGTGGCATTGCCCCTTGCCAGGTCCCATGTTGGAGCTCCTGAAGTCACTCCCTCTGCTCCAGCGGCAGCATCCTGGTTCAGGCAGCTTGCAGAAGCTGAGAACCACAAACAGAACGTGTTTCTTCCCCTTTTCCCTCCCCCTCCTGGGCCCAGCGAGCCCGGGACGGGGCCGCCGGCCGGCCTGCGGGGCCACAGGGCCTGTGGCCGGTGCTACCGGCCGCTCTCCGCCCGCTGCAGGCCCTTCACCCCGGATGGGCGCCCCTGTTTTCCTTCCCGTAATTGCCGTGTTTATGAGTCCCAGGTAATTGCCTGCCCAGGCTCCTGGGTGGGTGAGGACCTGCCGGTGGGTGTTGGCTATCTCAGGGCGGGTTTTTCTCGGTGACTTCCCTTTCTGGGACTCTCTCTGTGGACGCTGGGGGAGCAGGGTCTCCCCAGAGCCTCCTCTGAGTCATCGCTGACCCTGCGCATCCATCTCTCCTGGGCCAGGCCTGGGGCTCGCCTCCACATCCTGCCCTGGCTCCGAGGGCACTGCGGGTGGATGCCTCCTGCCCCTGCCAGCCCCTGCTTCCCCCTCCTCCCCCTCCCCCCACTGCCGCCCCGGGCCCCAGATTCTCATGTTCCGGGGAGCCCGACCACCCACCACCCACTGTGCTCTTCCTCCCACTTTGATAAGCTGCTTCCCTCCTCTTGAATGGATCGCTTTGCCACTTTTTCTCTCCCTCCCTCTCTCCCTCGCCCCACCCTCTGCTGAGCTCCATTGAACCAGCTCTGGTACCTCATTTTGTGCTGGGCACTGTGGCAGGGAGGGCTCAAAAGGCAAATCAGACAGGGCTGTTTTCCTTAAGGAGCTTACAGTCTTTTTTTTATTTAAATTACTTTATTGATGAAGGTATCACATATTTGTCATCATCCCCCCCATTCCCATCCCAAACCCCTCCCCACGCATGCCCCCACCCCCCTGTTGTCCGTGGCCACTGGTTAGGCTCATATGCCTGCACACAAGTCCTTTGGTTGCTCTCTCTCCCCCTTACCTCCACCCTTCCCTACCTTCCCTCTGAAGTCTGACAGTCTGATGGATGCTGTTCTTGTTCACCTGTCTATGTTGTTCATCATGAGCTTACAGTCTTGGGCGCCGTGTGAGGGTGTGTGTGTGTGTGAAGAGGTGAGACTCCGTGTGCCTGCAGGGAGGTTGGAGCTAAGGACTCCACGATGGAAGAGTGCCCAAAAGCCCATTCTATTTCTCCAGGAAGTTGTCAGTATCCCTGTCCCCCACGGCCCCTGCCCCTGTCTCACCAGCAGTCCACTCCCTGGGCCGCGGACGGTGTTTGGACAGTGATCAGCGTCGGGTCTGCAGACACTGCCTTCACTCGCTCCCTGACCCGGAGGAGCGGCTGCCGCCCTGGTTTGTCTTCTGCGTCCGCAGAGCCTCGTTGGCCATGCCAGCCCCCGCCGGGCACTGTGCTGCCAGGAACCGTTCTGCTTGGCGGCTCTTGTGTCTGGCCTTGTGTTTCCCAAGGCTGGCGCTCCCGCCTCTGTCGCACCCCTACCTGTTCCCTGTTTCTGGGGTTGTGGGAGCCCCGGTGCATGAGAGCTGCACATCGAAGCCGGTGACAAGAGCACGGAGGTCCGTCTCACTCAGGGTCCGGCCTCTGTGGACTATTTGATGGTGGCCGTGAAGTCGTGTTGGCACCCATGGGTTCCTTCTCAGCCTGGGGAAGCCAGGGTTGGGGGGAATCAGACGTGGGGGCTAGATGGCACAGCTCTGGCTCTTCAGAGAGGCGCCTCTTGGTTCATTGGTCAAACATTCACTTGTCCACACAGCAGATCTCAAGGAGGTACCCACCGACGGAGCCTGTGCCAGGCGTAGGGCACCAGCACTGGGAGAGACCCAGTGGCATGGGCCCTGCCTTCGGGGAGCACCCAGTGTAGTGTGGGGGGCGGGGGGTTCCGGAGAAACCCCGGTGGGCACTGAAGGCGGGCGGCTGGCCCAGGCTGGAGGATTTGGAGTCGGGAGTGGGGCGGAGACCGTCAGTGAGGTGGTGGCCCGAATGACCAACACGGAGGCAAGTCCTGGTGCCCCTGCTTTTCCTGCTCAGAGACGTTACCTGACCCCCTTGCCCCAGCGTCTGTGGCTGTAGCATGGGGCTGGCGTTTATGTGCTAGGGCTGTGGCAAGGATTAGAAGGGAGGCTTTACAGAATGAAAGCCATTTGTGAGATGCAGTGTGGCGTATAAACCATAGTTTGAATTTGTGAGTTGAAAAAGGACTGGAGCTAACAGTAGGGCAATGGGGAGTTAGGAGAATGAAGGCACATTAAGAGGCTCACAACCAGGTTGTCGGGGGGAGGGGAGTCTGACCTCACAAAAGGGCCAGCCTGCCCCCTGGGCTCAGGGAGTCTCTCTGAGGAACTTGGGGGCACAGCTTCCAGCGATCAAGACCCCCCTCCCAGGGTTCCACCTGTCATTCCCCTCCCTTCACGCGGCTGCTATGAACAGGACCCTGAATAAAATGGAAACGTGTGCCAAGACCATGGTTCTGGCTCTGGTCCCTTTCTCCTTCTTATTCCCCTCTTCCCCTCCCATCACACAAAACAAAACTTTTCTTTAAAAAAATATATTTTATTGAGTTTTTACAGAGAGGAAGGGAGAGGGATAGAGAGTTAGAAACATCAATGAGAGGGAAACATCCATCAGCTGCCTGTTGCACACCACCCACTGGGGATGTGCCCGCAATCAAGGTATATGCCCTCGCCCGGAATCGAACCTGGGACCTTTCAGTCCGCAGGCTGATGCTGTATCCACTGAGCCAGACCGATTAGGGTAAAACAAAACTTTTAAAAATTATATTTTATTGATTTTTTACAGAGAGGAGGAGAGAGGGATAGAGAGCTAGAAACGTCGATGAGAGAGAAACATCGACCAACTGTCTCACGCAACCAATGTACATGTCCCTGACCAGAATCGAACCTGGGACCTTTCAGTCCGCAGACCGACGCTCTATCCACTGAGCCAAACCAGTTAGAGTAAAACTTTTAAATGCTTCCTTCTCTCTTGGAGCTCCCAGAGGCCCCTGTGCTGGAAGGTGTGTGCAAAGGGGGTGAGGGCGGGCAGGGAAGGTGGTCAGCGGGACACTAAGATGGCCAAGCAGTCTGCCTTCTTTGGGGGGCTTTGTCCACCTTGGTCTGGGGAGGACCTTGGGATTCATGGCCCTCATGGAGGAGATGTGGACGCGGAGGCGTAAGAGAAGACAGTCCTCCCTCGATAGTTGTCCACTCCCTGTGGGAAGGCACTGAGGGTGGGTCTGCCCTGAGCAGGTGCTGTTCCATCACAGTTTCCCCCCCCCCCAAGGTACATGTATGGCCTCTCTCGCTGCTTCCCGGGGGAACCGGGTGCGCTGTGGCCTGTGGCCACCCTGGCCGCTGTGGTCTTGGAGTTCCTCTGGCATCAGTTCCTTTTCTGGCTTGTGGTTCTGCCCAGGCTGTTGGCTCATGTCTCTCCTAAGGGAGAAAGCGTTCTTGGAAGAGGAAGGAGAGTGGGATGGAGCTCCCAACATGCATTGCTTCTGACACTCTGCACATGCTCCTGGGGTGTTTGGAGGACATGTATTACACCTCTTAGTGCCATGGTTATCACCCCTTTATAGGGGATGAAACTGGGC